TGAAAGTATCAAACATATGTATCGTATTTAAGGGAAACCTGTGCAGATCTCAGGTAACAATAAAATTATCAAAGCATATATTAGTATAATGATAAATGTATCACTTGAGATAGTACTGCGTGGACTTCCTATCAAATGGAAATATGCTAGCTGAGGAACAATTTATCAAATTCAAGGACAAACTGTTAAGCCTCTGAAATGCTATTTTATTATGGATCATAGCCTGAAAGGTTAGATTAATAATGCTGTATATACAGCCTGCAGTTGAGTATGATACATGAATCAAATGATTCGAGTTAAACTATCAGATGGTGTTCTTGAATATATCAAACTTACTGAACTTCAAACAACTTCTTGTTTCTAAATTATTGAGGCAAAATTAAGATGCCATAGGCTAGATGATCAGAAAAAGAAGTGACACTTTCTAAGACTGCTTATGATAGCTGAGAATTGGGAGGTAAATTATAGGACTGATTTGTTTGAAAACACTATAGTATGTGAAAACCTGCTCTATCTAGCAGAGAATGATAAGGAGAAAGCTATTTCATTAATCACGTCAAAAGAGATAATTTCTATAACATATCAGCAAAAGAAAGTTTGTAAGGTATATTATATTTCATTCTTATTCTAAAGCTATCCTAAGCGTTATTTGCAGTCATTTTCGATTGATTAGATAGATGATATTGAGGGACATTATCTTCAAAATATAAGACTTACTTGTCTTTGATACAATAAAAGATACCACTGTTAAAGTTGAAAAAAAAAGCTGTAAAGGCCAAACTCCCTTGATTAAAGATCTGCAAGAGAAAACTAATAAAAATTCAGTTAACTTTATTAGATTATTTTTATCTGATAAAATAAATATCCAGTTAAGAAAATATAACAAAAATGACATACGTAGAATGTATAGTTTGGTATTTTTAGGGAGATGATGATATGAATCTAAAAAGTCATTATGAAGTATTAAAAGTAAGGTGTAGACACTACACAGTCAAAGTACTGATTAATACAACTTCTAGCATAAATTTTATTAGCAAAATCCTAACTGATAAGCTTGAAAAATAATATAGAAAGCATTATAAAAATAAAAGAGTGAAAAACTTATTAGACACCATAGATTGCTTAGATATATCTTTCTAATATAAAGGAAAAGATAGACTGGTCTCTGATAGTGACAAAGCTTTTAATGATTTTGAGGTTATTATAAAGTCAGAAAAAGCTGACCTCATATTAGAAATACTATGTTTATAAATATGTGAAGCAAAAATAGATATGTGAAAAAAAGGGATAATAATATATGATGATTTCATGCTATTTTACAAGTATCCAAAAAATAATAAATATTATTATTCAGAAACAGATGATTCTGATTCATCTGAATCTAAAGTGAAGTTAGTTGCATCTGAGTGCTATTTATCCGAAGAAATAAAAGTCAAATACTATAAACCAAAAAATACTAAGCAATCTTAGAAAAAATACACGATTTTAGACTGCTGAAATTTGCTATTATACAATCCAGCCAAGTATAATGCTGATCTTATATGCATAAAAAATATTAACCAAATGCTGATCCTGCTTCTGTGTAATTAGACGAACTTGGATACAATATTTATCAGTATTTCTTATAGATCATGTTTCTATTGGTTAGAAGCATGAAGAGTATTATATAACACAGAGGACTTTATAACCTACTTTTATTCTCGAGAAAATTTTGGTGATTTTATTAATATATAATACTGAATTTCTTATCAAATAATCAGGATAATAAAGCTTATAAAGAATTGAAAGATCAGAACTACTTTGAAAAATAGCTTATATTTAAGGGATAGAAGCATGAATATAAGGTTTATGAAGAATGTGATTATTACTCACATCTGTGTTGCAAAAGGTATAAGAAGGTGGCAGAAGGAATTTATAAGCAATATAAATATTCTCAAGTAATTTGATCAATAAAGCAATAGTGTAAATTTATCAGACATTTTATAATTTTTTCGCATGAAATGAGTTACAGAATTATGTGAAACAAAGAGTATACTATTATTTTTTTGATCAAGTTTATTGTAGCTTAATAAATAAATATGCAGTAATATTATAGTATTATTACATGTATCACAGGAATAAGTAATTGCGCAAAATAATTTATTCTCAAACTTTCTCGCACATTCTCAAAATTATGTATAGCCTCTTAATGATCTTTACATATGGATTATGGATAGCAAGGAGAGGCTGTTGATCAGATTTTTGTGATTTGATCATATTAATGTAATTTCTCCCAAAAGTGTATTCCAAAATTGATTCTGAAAATTATATAAAAAGGTGATATTCCTATTAATGAATCCTTTTTAACCACTTTGCAAGTAAAGTAAAAAAATTTAAACCAATCAAGCTTTTACCATTATTAAAATCATTGATAATAACAATCAAATGAACTCGTAATTTCTGCAAAGTAATAATGGTTTATTGCTCAGCTAGTTTCTTGAAATATGTCATCACAATGTTAATCAATTTTCTCATCTCTATAAATGTTTTAAAATAAACAGACATATTGTTTTTCTTGTTATATATTGAGATTTTGAGAAAATCTCTAATCATTATCACGCATACAATAGACGTAGTAAAATTACTCATATGATTATCTTCATATGCAATGGCACAGAAAAAGTCTGATGCAATATTTTTCAATCTATAAGCATCTTCATGTGCAAGCTTTGCACAGTATCATAGTGCAGAAAAACTTAAACAATCAATTCCTTATATATAAGATAAAATAGAACTTTGTGAAAATGAAGTATATCAATAAGTATGAATTGGAAATATTACTTTTTTATATCAGTTGCTAATCTACTGAATTTATGCTGTAGGTTTGAAATTACTTAATCTCAGAAGTTTTCTTGCGGAAAATAATCTTTTTCATAGTCTATATGAGTGGGAATAATATAAATAGACGTATAAATGGATAGGATAATTTATTTAGTAAATTTAGTGTAGTAAAGAGTTGGGATAAGAATTTCGTAATTAGCAATAGTAATAGAAATAAAATAACTAATATAATAAAATTGAGAGTAAAAAAATAACTTGATGCTGAGATTCGCATTAAATAGCTTAAGATCTGCATACTCTTTCCCTCTTTGATAGCATCATATATTAATTTGCTTCTTTAATATTTTCTGATCCACTATATATCTGAAAATTATTAATAAAGTTTTGTTTTTCTTTTTAAAAAATTGTAACGATCAGACTTATATGACTTTAAAATATGCATCCATGTGCAACACCTTTTGGCAAGTATCATTGTACAGTAATAATACGTCATGATTATTGTACCTTTAAATATTCAATGACTTATTCATCGCTTAAAAATTAAATTTTCTGAGTACAGTCTGATCTTGATATAATGAACTCATGATATACTGAACTTTCGACTTATTGAACATTTTTTCAAGAACCAGTTTTATAATATTTAAAAAATCTCAATATACTGAATATCATATAAAACTTGATATAATATATACCAAACTTTTATTAATCTACCATTTAATATAAAACATAATAAAAAAAATTTTGATATACCGAACTGGTCATATAACTTGTAAAATCAGTATTTAAATTGAACAATCTGAAAATCATTTAACATTGTCTTTAGTTTTTCTTTTAACCATGTCACATCATAACATTATAAGTCAAAAAAGAAAAAATGTAAATAATGAAGCAACATTAAAAAAAAGAAAAGTTTTAACTTATAGAGAAAAGAAAGAATTATGTTTGCTTCATCAAAAAAATCCATTATTGACATAAGAAGAAATAGGAAAAAATTTTGGTATAAAAAAAATTACTGTTTATGATATTTTAAAAAATAAAGAAAAATGGTTGAACGTAAAACTTAATAGTTTCAATACGACTAAACAAAAAGAAAAATCACCAAAATTTCCTGAATTAGAAGAAGCTTTAGTAATTTTGATTTCAAATGCTTTATCTGCTAACAAAACTATAACGGAAGAAATCATTATAACTAAAGCTACTAATTTTGCGAAATTAATGAATATTGAAGGATTTATCAGGTCAGTTAGTTGATTAAATAATTTTAAAAAAAGATATAATATCAAACAATATAACAAACATAGTGAGGTTCAGAGTGGTCTAAATGAAGAAGAATTAGCCAAAGAAAGAGAAAATTTACAGGAATTAATTAGTAATTTTGATCCTGAGATGTATTTAATTCTGATGAAACAGGTAATAATTTTTTTACTATAGTTAAAACCAATTAAGTAATATAATTTTAAACTTATGAAAATATTGCATTTATTTTAGGATTGTATTGGGAATTGGAACCTTCTAAAATATTATCTACCGGTCCTCTTCCTGAAATAAAAAAATCAAAAAATAGAGTTACAATTTTATTGACATTCAATACAACTGGTTCAATTAAACTTCCAGCACTTTTCATCTATAAATATAAAACACCAAGAGATTTAAAAGAAATTGATAAATCAAAACTTCCAGTTGATTATTTTTGAAATAAAAGTGCTTGGATGCAAACATCTATTTGGAATAAATATTTAGAGATCTTAAATTAAAGAATGAAGAAACAAAATAAAAAGATTCTTCTTTTAGTAGATAATGCTTCAGTTCATTTTATTAATAATCCAGAATTATTAACAAATATTACAGTTTATTATTTGTTACCTAATACTACAGCGCATTTGTAACCTGCTGATATTGGCATTATTAATTCATTTAAAAGACTTATAAAAAACAGAATTGAAACTTATGATGATGAAATGGAATTAAATATGCCAATTCTTAAATTGAAAATAAGCAACTCTATTTCATTTTGTACTGAAGCTTGAAAAGCTGTAACAAGTGAAACTATTTGTAATTGTTGAATGAAAACTGGAATTTTACCTTTGGTTATAACTTCACCTTCACCTTTACCTTCACTTTCTGATGGAGAGCAAAATGACGATGAAAATTTAAATGAAATAGAAGAAATTCAAACATTAATGGATCAATATAGTAAATTTACTTCTGATGAATTAATGAATGCTGAGGAATTTATTTTAATTGATGATGATGATAATTATGGAGAAGTAGAAATCACAGATGAAGAAATTGTGAATATGATAAAATCAAATGAAATTGACCTTGAAGAAGAAGAATTAATTTCACAACCAAAAATATCTACTTCAAAAGCATTAGTATCATTAGATAAAGTATTATCTTTTCTTAATAATTCACCTGATACCTTTATTACAGAACTCCATAACAAAAATTTATTATATAATCTTAAAAAGAAAATTATCCTTTTCGATAAAAATAATAGAGTTCAAACGGTATTAGATGGTTGGTTAAACATTTAATGAAGTATATGCAGTAACTAGTTTGACGAGTTTTCTATTAATTACTTTAATTCTTTTTTGAACATTTAGCATTTTATTAGTAATGTAATTTTCATTTAATAATAATATAATTCTTTAAACATTTTAAATTTTAATAACAAGGCTTACAATAAAGTTTTATGCTGCGCACATTATACAAAAAATTACATGATTCTTGATATATTGAACTTTTTATTGTTTACTTATAGAATTCGGTATAAAAAAAATTGGATTTACCGAACATCATCTATATACTGAACTTTTTTTCCTAAACCGCAGGTTCGGTATATCGAGATTTGACTGTACACATGATATAAACTATATCCTTGCTTAGAAAGTAGTAATTCTTGCAGAGGACCTCTTACACAATTAGCCCATTGCTGGGTGTTTCATGAGGTCTAAATAATTGTATTGCTTTTCTATTTTAACCACTTTTTCGTACCGATAGTTATCAGTTTGAGGACGACAGTTAAAAACATGTTCCATATCATATCCAGGGTGGAGGTTGATAGGTTTAGGTACAGTCTTATTATAAATCCTGTCTATAATGATTTTAACCATGTCACCGGCATATTCGTTAGCAATTTAGTGATTTATAGCAATTTCAATGATTTATAGCAATTTCAGTGATTTATAGTAGTTTGTAACAAGTATATTCTAATAAAATATCAGATTCATTTTTATCAGGTGAAAACAGATTCATGATTCGGTTAAATGCATAGCTTCCGCAAAGGTTAATCTAATTATTCGATGAGCGATACATATGAATTAAAAAGGAGAAAGGCCCGATATGAGCAAACTTTATTAATACCTTTTGGTTACATAACAGATATATGTTTATCAAAGAATTTTTTATCACTTCGATGTGTGACATGCAAGTCTTGGGCGCAGTATTATGTGGCGCAGTGGCATCAGTTCAGTTAAAATAGCATACGTAAAAAATACTACACATTTATGCAGTAAACGTTAAGCTGATACAAAACTACATAGAATGTGGAAAGTAGCATAAATTTTGGTTTATTTTTCCGATGTGAGCTCAAATATAAATCAAGCAGTATAACATTAAAAACGTTCCAAACCAGAAAGGACAACTCCTTTTAACATTATGTGTTTTGCTTACTAACTCTCGGAACTTAGGTGTGCAAAGTGTGTTTTTTTTTGAATGTTGCCTTTTCCGTCAATGATCCTGGATTACAAAGCTTGGGATAGAAATTTTCATAAGATTCGCGAAAAATATCTTGTATTCTTAAAGATAATTCTATATCATCCACAAAAGACGACATATCCTTTAAGGATACTGGAATAGAAACCTGACCGACATGAAGCATAATATAAATTCCTTTAACAAGATCCATTATGTAATAGTCAACTTTATAATCTATGAATGATCAAAAAGTGATTAAAAGAATAGGAAAACAAAAGCAAAAACAAAAGCAAATAATTGTATTAATTCCTTACCAATACACTGGAATCCCAGAACTTTTATATCGGCGCCTTTATCAACAGATGAATCTAGGATATCTTTCATAAACACACCAAGGCGGATAAGATCGTTACAGTTTTTATATACATCCCCCTTTTTTGATGGAGGGCTAACTTCACCCACAAATAAGGTAGCACTTGTCTGTAACTGACAAATAATGGAAACTGTGAAGTCAGGCTGTTTAGTGCGACCTTCAAATTTTCTAGTTTTGCTTTCATTTAAGGCCGTATTCGGCCATTGTACTATGTATTTATCGGGATTATTAAAGAGTCCTCTCATTATGCGATCAAGGAAATTAGTATAGTGTGTGATCTCACTGTGTTCGTTTCTAATTTTTGAATTTGGTAACGTTCTTAAGCAATCCAGAACAATAAAACCTAAATTCTCTCTCAAAGGTTGTTCACTAGAAAGTTTCCCACATAACCAATTAGTAGAATCATCCCGCGATCCACTTATTGCCATTTTAATTGATTTTCTGAATGTTACTTCGGAATCTGGATCTAATAATTTTTTGTTGATCCGATGTAAGTTTTTGATGAATTTCATCGAGCAAGGACAATCCAAAGTGATCGATCATTGTTCTGGAATAGGAATTCGGGGCAAGCAATAAAATTGATGATAGAGATAAAATTTCCTGCGTCAGTTATCTTCCTTTTCAAGTCTGCTTTATCGTTTGCAAAAAATACCAGCTCAGAAATCATAGATACTTCCGCCAGGATTTGAATCATTCTGCAAAAAAAAATAAGTTATCTACATGCTTCTGCAAGTCTATGGACGGATTTCGGCGGAACGTATTCCATCACCACTCAAGATCGTAATCCAGTGGCTTGCCGTAGTCCCAGCGGAACGTATTCCATCACCACTCAAGATCGTAATCCAGTGGCTAGCTTCTCAGTTGGACAATTACACATGGGCAGATACCGTAGATCCCCATGCTCTTTGTCAACCGCCATATGACTCACAAAAGCTGAGGTGATTCAGTAGTACTAGTGAAAAAATGTATTACTAATAGAAAGTGCCTACCTGAAATTGTTTCAACATTTTCGATGCTGCTGATTTCTCTTCCTGTGACCCGGAACTCGTAACCATTCGAGTTGTCGGGTGAGTGCCAACTTAACTTTGGACTTGTTCATTTCATATTTCGTTGCATACCATTCCCGGTGATATTCAAGCGCGTCCCAATCTTCGCAAGGTGTGGTGAAGAAATAAGAAAAACCCGGCTTATCTGTAAGATTACTAAGATTACTTTCCTTTCTCATTGTTCTGAGGTTAATAAAAACATAAGATTCAGAATTTCAGATGTACCAAAAATTACCAGTATCATCTGACAAATCGCGTGACAAATGTGCCACCCTGTCACACAGACTATGTAAAATAATATTCCCCTAAAGAGAAATTCACTGAGATTAAGTAATTTCGAAACTAAAATATAAATCGGGGATTAGCAATTGAGGTAAAAAAAAAAAAAAAAAGGCAATGCAATATTATCACTCTTACCGTTATGACTTATTTTTATAACAATCCACTCAGCCTCGTATTTAAGTAACTCGTTGCCTAATGTGTTAAGATATTTCGATTTTTTTAACTCAAGTACGATTCTGCGCCAAATATCGCTTGATATACTGCGCCAAATTACTGCCCACCAATATAAGTAAGATTTTGGCAGGGGCTCCCGGCTGAAATCACAGTCATGTGATTTTTTTATCTGTAGTATTTAACTGCGCCGATGAGGCACGTGTTGACGATCAATTAGCATCGTGATTTTCGATTTTTTAGAATCAAGCCAAGAAATCAAATTTACTTTATTATTACTTTGCGGAAAATACAAGTTTGATTGATAAGAGATATTGTTGATGCAAATAATGGTAAATTAGGCAGATAAAAGGATTCACTAGCCGGAACATCACCTTTTTATACAATTTGCAGGATCAATCTTGGAATACACTTTGGGGAAAAATTACGTTAATATGATTGCATCACGAAAATCGCATCCCCTTAATATAACAATAAAGAACTTAACGCTATCCATATATAAGGATCATCAAAAGGGCTATACATAATTTTTGAGAATGTGCGAGAATAAATTATTTGCGTTCCTGTGATACATGTAATGATTACTATAATATTACTGCGCATTGATTTATCAATCTATAATGAAAAAATAATAGCACACTTTGCTTCACACAATCCCATAACTCACTCCATGCGAAAAAATTATAAATGTCTGGTAAATTTGCACCATTGCTTTATTGATCAAATTACTTGAAACATTCACATTGCTTATAAATTCCTTCCGCAACCTTCTTACACATTTTGCAATATAGATGTGAGTGATGATCGAATTCCTCATATACCTTACATCCATGCTTCCATCCCCTAAATACAGAGGGTGAACAAAAGTATCAGCACACCCTCCATAACGTGAATTAATGCTAGTAAAGTCATATGACCGCAATAACAAATTGCGTTTACATGACACTTAAGTGTTTATTTATATTATAAAAATAAAAAGAATAACAATTTATTTTTTTTTTAATAAATTTTTCTTCTCTGAAAATCTAAAAAAAATGGTAAAAACTAAAGAATTAACTGTAATGATTTTTCAAGCGAAAAACAATCTTCATACATTATCTTGGCTAGCTAAAAGTCTCAATCTTAATCCAATTGAGAATCTTTGAACTGAAGTCAAGAAAAGCATCCAAGCTTATAAAAAACCACTATCTAATTTGACTGATATGTTAAAAAGGCTTGGCAAGAAATTCTGAAGCATACTTTCAAAACCTAGTCGATAATATACCGCAACAAATTCAAGCTGTGATTACAACAAATGGTAACACAACTAAATACTAGTTACTTAGTACAAAATGTAAATCTTAATCAGCTTTAAATAAAATATTAATTAACCGTTTATTATTAATGCAAAAAAGTTATAAGTTTTAAATTAAGTAAAAAAGTGTGCAGATATTTTTGTCCACCCTCTGTATATGCTATTTTTCAAAATAGTTCTGCTTTAGCAAAGCATTTCCCAGCTCCTTATAAGCTGTACTATTCTGATTGTTTGATAAGAAATTCAGCATGATATATATAGTTATAAAAATAATTGTGTGCTCAAAATTTCATTTACCTAATTTTGACATTCTAAATACTGTGCATTTAGAGTAACAACTGTACATTTTTTCAAGTGATTAATCTCACATGACTGGTCTATGCTACAATAGCGAATTTGAATTTATTGCTTAAAGTGAAGTAAATAAGACAATATTCTGTTCTATTCCTATACCATTCATTATGTAACCTATAATTCTCATGTTTTCTATCGCAAATAGAACATAGTGAACTTTATGGCTAAGCAGATACAAAATTATAATTATCAATCCTTCTAAAACTATTTCAGAATTTTAAGTATATGAAATGCTCTAATACAGATTTGATAATTAATTTTAGATCTAATCTGACTTCAAAAATGATTGGCTTAAAATAATTACTATAGCTCATTTCCAATTTCTTTTTTATATCTTTATATAAATTGAAACAAATCTTATCTGTTAAAACACTTGGTAACCCAGTTAATTTAGTATGCTAATCCAGATATTCAGAGGTTAATATTTTATCAGACTCAGTTATTTTCCTTTTTATATAAATACAAACAATTTAAATCCTTTTTTTTTTATCAATTTGAAAAAAAGATTAAAAATTTTCAGATAGAAAGCTATCTAATATTTCTTATCATATTTCCAAAAAAAATAGTTAGATCATCTTCTGCACTCATAGAGTAGGAAAGACTATGCAGTTAGAGTTTCAATGAGTCAAATCAAGTTGAGTTTAAAGATCAATTCTATTTGACTCTCTTTTTTCGAGTTGAGTCGAGTCGAGTCAAATTTATTTTATAAAATCTTTTAATTTGATTTGATTCAAGTTATATAAATTTTAAACTCGACTCAATTTGACTCGACTCTATTTTAACTTGATTCAATTTTAAAAAAAATAATAAAAAAAAAACAAAAAGATCAGAGGGAAGGAAGGAGAAGAAGCGAATGATTTATCATTATTTTTCTTGAACGATTTTTTTATTATTCAAATCAAATGATTAGTCATTGTTCTTCTTAAACAATTTTTTATCATTCAAGTCAAACAATTTAGATCATTATTCTTCTTGAACAATTTTTTTATCATTCAAGTCGAATAATTCAAGTTATTGTTCTTCTTGAATGATTTTTTTATCGTTTAAGTCAAATGATTTCTTATCATTCTTCTTAAACGAATTTTTATCATTCAAGTTGAACAATTTTTCATTGTTCTTTTGAACAATTTTTTTATCGTTCAAGTTGTATGATTTCTTATCATTCTTCTTGAATGATTTTTTTATCGTTCAAGTCAAATGATTTCTTATTATTCTTCTTGAATAATTATTTCTCTATAGGACTACGGTCCTAGAACTGCAGTTTTAGGACCAGTTTTAGAATCTAGTCCTAGAACCTAAGTCTTATAGACTGGGAGTTTCAGGATCAGACTAGGACCAGACTGGATTTTAACATCCCTAAAATAATACTATTTTAAATCAACTCAAGTCAACTTGAATTAAGTTGAGTTTAAATTGAGTCAAATTAAATATTTAACTCAACTTAAATTTGGCTTGATTCACAAATCATCAAGTCAAAAAAACATAAACTTAACTTGATTTAAACTCAACTCAGCTTATCTTATTTGTGAATTAACTCGACTCATCCAGAACTCTATATGCAGTTATCTCAATTTTATGCTGTTCATATTTAATAAAATAAGATCTGGCTTTATACCTACCTTTTATTTCTTCATTATAATGACCTATTTGCATAATGGGCAGATGGTCTCTCTCAAAACTCCACATAATATCTCATCAGTAATCAAAATTTTCACTACTACATTCTCTATATAGATTAGAATATTGATCCAATATCTTGTTGTGAAAATAAGCTCAGTTATAAGTTGGATTAGTTCTACTTGCTTGAGGTGTGATTGATAAAATCATTTCTAGTGTAGTATTTATCTTAATTTCTTTTTCATTAGGTAAAGATCAGCATTTAATGTAATAAGAACCCTTTATGCATCGACCAACTACCTTCCTTTATTATGCTCTTTTTTACATCCAGAACATAAGTCTGAATTCTTAAATTCATATACTGTATATCATTATATTTGTCACTATTATATAAAATAGGTAGAGATATTCTTTTAAAACCATATTGATATAAGAAGCATAAGCATTATATGAAATGATAGGTAAATTAATTAGGTCTGAAGAATTAGAGATATATATTAAATGAATAGGTATACTTATCTCAGAAGATTCAGTCACATACGTATAATGATTTATCATACTGATCATTTTTTGGCATTCATCTGTAGAAGACTTATAAGTCTTAAGAAAGCAACTTATAATATCTTAAATCTGAATTTCTATCAGACTTGAAATAGCACTTGTGCTATAAGTAACTGCTTGAATTTTATCTATTCCTATCCTCTTAAATAATATATAAACTTTTTAGTTCTAGAAATAATTTTACGCAAGTTCACGTCAATAATGTCTAAAAATAAGATTTGATTTCGCTATATATTAATGTCCTTGCTGATTGATCATTAATCTTATTTATAGATTTAATATTCCTAATTTGATTCTTATATGCTTTATAGTAACAATATCAGCATAGTATCTTCTTTGGTTTGACCTTTATTGCTACATTAAATAAATCAACTATAGTTTGTGCTGTAATATTACTAGATCCTATTAGAATCAATTCTAAAAAAAATTTTGAAATCTAAATGTTAAATATTATGCTATCGCTTTACTGTAAAAGGATGATAATTCCTGTTTAAACCTTGTTCTACTTTTTGCCTATAGAGAATTTTTTAATGTGACAGAGTGTTCTGATTATCTTTCTCCTTCAAATATAATTTTTCAATATTTTTCTCTAAACACAAACTAGTGAATAAACAGAATGAGACAGTAGTAACTAAGGATAAGTTTTAAGTAGTCAATTCATGCTAAAGTTTTATTTTCCGCTTTCTTTCTCTTATCTTATTACTAATCTTCTTCCTATATATCTTATCTAAGAAAGAATCTGTCTCTCTATCATCTTCTAATAATTTAGATTTGGTAGTATCATACTGGTCTACAACAGAATGTATAATAGTTTGATCTAAAGGTATTGAATTGAAATCCTGAGATATAGAATCAATATTATTCTTTTTAATAAAATGATCAGAGTAATCCGATTGCTTCAAAATCTTCTCAATAGATAGCAAAATAGATAATTATGAAGTTATTGAATGAATTGAAGACTTTGGTATAAATGTATTACTTTTTGCTAAAATATTAACAGCATTTTATTCCTGTTTGATTTCCTGATATCATCATTTAATTTAGCAATAAGTGTAATCTTTTCTTTATTTCTTTGTTCTAGATTCGTGAATCTAACTTTATGTTCTTCTAAAATATACTTTAACTTCACATTCTCAACCTTAACTTCTATATTCTTAGCCTTGACTTTAGTATTTTCCTTTCTAAGTTCTGTAATTTCAGCTAAGAGCTTCGAATTTATTTCTCTCAATGAATCAATCTTAGATTGCATGTTTAATAATATTTTTTTTATACAAGATAAAATAATTCAAAAGTTTTAGTTAGTATAGTAATAAATAAAAAAATCATGTGTATGTGATAATTTATCACACAAATCACTTTGTCAAGAAAAAATTTATTATTACATGTGAAAATAAATACAAATGTTCAGGGCTTAGCCCACAATACATATTATTTTTTGATAAATTTTTTAATTCTAGCCCTTTTACTAATTGGAAAACTATTTACACTAACTCTATTCTTTAATAATTCTATAATAATACTAATCACTCTTTTACATTGCTACGAAGTAATTTAGAATTTTCTTTAATAGCTGATTTCGTGAGATTAATCTGATATTCTACTATCACTTGTATAGTAAATACTATCTAAAATATATATTATAAAATACCACTCTATACCTGTGGTCACAATACTATAGATATAATTAAAATAGTCATTCTTAAATACTTGATTTGTAGTCTGTTTCTTTTTATTCATCTGAAATACTTTATATTTTGCTGTTGAAAAAAAATGTTAAGAGATACAAAATACAATTAGTATTGTTATCTGATGTTGAGCTTTATAAAAGCATATGTAAATGAAATCCTCATATTTTTTATAAAGAGAGGATCCCAAAGAGATCAGATCTATTAGAAAGATATATAATTAGTTTCACTTCTGACGATCTTGAAATTCCAAAGTCCTCAGTATTTTATAACATATGCTTTATTGACATTATTTGCTTATATAGTAGGCTCTGTATTGCAACTAATCACTTTTTTACATTTTCTCACATTTGTTTAAAAAAATATAATGAACAAAAGTTAATATATTTTTTTTTTCAAATATATGTAAAAATTAATATATTGTACAAAACCCCAATTGATGATTCATATTTTCTATTGCATAATCTATAGCTTAGCAAAAAATCTTCCAAACTAGTGATCACTGCTTCAGTTGATAATCAGTATTTCAGACACAAATTTAAATATATGCTAGCTAGAGATAAACATAATCATAATAAGTAATACTAATAATAAATTTGTTCAAAATAAAATACTTAAAAATCAACTATATAAAGTGCTTTTATATAAGAAGATGAATGTATTAGCTATTCAGAAGCGCCTAGCTGAAAGAAATCTTGGTATTAATGACAATGCAAACCAAACAGCATTAAATCAAAGCAAGAAAGCAAAAATACTTGATTATACAAGTAGACTATTATTTAATTTAGTGGAGGTAATTATATTGATAGAGGAGCATCTTGAGATTGATAAATACCTAACTCTTAATATATTATATCAATATAGAGAAGATCTTATTGATAGATCATTAGGAAAATTTTCACTTAGAAAAAAATACCATTTGCTTTTATATCTAGAAGAGGATATAAGCATTATTCAACATTATCTTAGTATTGTCAGTTATACTGACAAAGAAATAATAAAAAAAGAAGCTGAGAAAGATGTAAAAGCATATAT